TCCGCGCTCACCCGCCGCCTCCCCGCGTGTCTCCGGCCGCCGCGCAGGTTGAACGACCCCAAGATGTCCGAGTCGGAGCGCCAGTCGGCGGAGAGCAAGAGAGCAGACTGCAGCCTCTTCGTCCAGGAGCTCCTCCTGTCCACCCTGATGCGGGAAGAAAGTTCCTCCTCCGATGAGGATGAGCGGGGGGAGATTGCCGATTTTGGTGCTATGGGCTGTGTAGATATTATGCCTCTAGATGTTGCTTTAGAAAGCCTAAATTTAAAAGAGAGTAATAAAGGAAACGAGCCTCCTCCACCTCCTCTTTGATGACATCCCACTTCGCAGACAATGTCCTCTGTGCTGTATTTGCCAATGAAAGTGGACAACAACTATCTTGGGTTTGTTTTGGTGATTGTAATTTCAGGTCTGTCACTCTTGTTACATTGTGTACATTCAAAAGAAAGAGAGAAAAGATATATATGATAATCATTTCCACTTAACTAATTTTTACTTCTAGCAGGTAAATGTAGGTTGCGGAGCGGAAGGCTCTGCGTCCTGTACCTTGACATGCAGAAGGCTCTCCTAATACTCCACATTCAAACTGAAGAGGAAAAAAAAAAAAAAGAAAAATCTCTAATGAAGCTGCTGTGTGTATTTATGAATATTAATGAATAAAAACTGCTTGGATGGTTTACCTTAACTACTGCATGACGTTTTTTGCAGCGTGCATGAGTTCTAGTGACCTTGTCATTTACAAATTAAATACAAGGAGTAAAACTATAAAGACCCAAAGCTTTCCCGTTATTCCAAGGTTACGTGACAAACCAAGGAAGGGGTCGGTGCTCGCGGAGCCGCGTGTGGCCGCGGAGCAGCTTCCGGACACCCCGCGCGGAGGCGCCCGCGCCGGCCGCCCCGTCCAAGCGTTTCCTTCCCTGGGGTTGTTCACAGCAAGAAAAAAGTTGTTTTTTATTTTCATTTTTATTTTCATTGTTAACATGTTTTGTTCAGGTGTAGGTGATTCATATATTCACTGTGTTTAAGAGGAAAACAAAAAAAGTTAACCTGAATTATGTTGTCTTAGTTTAAAGAGAAAAAAAAAAAAAAAGAAAAAAAAGAAAAAAAAACTTTGCAGTCTCGATCATATTTTTGAGTTATTTATGTGTTTGCCTCATGGTTTGCAGAGACCTGTCAGTATCAGGAGAGCTTGAGGATTTGGCCTCCCAGATTGTCAGCATGTCGCAATTGATTCTCGATGCTAACCTTAGCACCTCTTATTTATTGTTTTTTTTTGTCGTTGTTCTGGCTGGAGAAAAAAAAAAAAGAGATAAAAAGCCTTTTAGTTGAATCATGACACCTACATGCCTATACTGTTAATCCTGTCTGTTTAACGAAAAAAGAAAAAAGTGGTTTTGTGTATCAACTTTGACA